AGAAGGACTAGGGGAGACATGATAGTAATGTTGAGATATCTCAGGGGTTGCCACAAAGAAGAGGGAGTCAAACTATTATCCAAAGCATCTGAGGGTAGAACGAGAAGAAGTGGGTGGAAACTAATCAAGGAGAGAAGCAATTTAGAACTGAGAGAAATTTCCTGACAGTTAAATCAATTAATCAATGGAACAACTTGCCTCCAAAAGTTGTGAATGTTCCAACACTGGAAGTTTTTAAGAGGCTGTTGCCATTTGTCTGAAGTGGTGTAGGGTTTCCTGCCTAAGCAAGGAGTTGGACTAAAAGACCTCCAAGGTCCCTTCCAACTCTGTTATTCTATTCTAACATCTGCACTGTTTCATATTTTTTTTTAAAAAAAGACACAGTCCACCTTCAAAAGACAGCTCACTTAATTTTCCCAGGCTATTTCTTTTCTTATGAAGCTTATCAACCCACACTTGTTTCACACGTGTCTTATTTGGAGCCATTTATTTTCTGAATGGAATATTTTTGTGAGTCAGGCGATGTATTATTCATGTGCTATTTCAATAGCGACAAAACAACGCTGTGATAGATGTTTGTGAGATAAAAGTAAATACATGTGCTTAGCATTCTGAAAGAAAGGAAACATCTTTTTTTGGAACCACTATAAACTCAGACTGAAGACTCACACTTTGAAATAGGCTGGTTTTTTTTCCAAAGACAAAAGACTTCAAAAGCCAAGGTTTAAGTAGGTTCTCACCTACACTCTCAAGAGCAAGGACAAGTGAGGGAAAAAATACCCTCACATAATCACCTGTACCAGCGGTGAAGGATTAAAAGGATCAGATGCTAATGAACAATAGAATCATATTTATACTAAATTGCAAAGGAAAGCAAAGGATAAAGGAAGGAAGACAAGGTACGGTGCATTAATGAGGATATGTAAGAATATAATTGCTGACACAAATGTGTAAATAGAAAGCGTAGCACAAGAAAGGAGGTAATGCAGTGCAGAGAATTATCTTCTGCCCCCATGAAGAGGAACCAAGGGGATAAGGTTAATGCAGCGTAGAGCTGCTTAAAAATGAAGTTGATGGGACATTGGTAAGTTGTTATCAGACAACTGCATCAAGAGACAGGGAATATTTTCATAACATATTATGGAACAATGTATAAGATAAGGGCTCCAAAAACTTGTATTATTTATTGCCAATTTCCAATGTAGTATTTATCACATCTATCTTACTATCTCCACCTATTACAGATGAAATGTTTCCCACCCCTGAATCTTTAACCGTACCAGAGTCCTGTTCCTTTCCTTTTTCCTTTCCCTTCCCTCCCTTTCTCCTTTCCTGTCCCTTGTCTTCCCTTCCTTTCCATTCCCTTCCTTTCTTTCCCTTCCCTTCCACTATGATGACTTGTATGATTGTTTCTTTGATGACAGATGGAAAAAATTGGGATTCTTGTTTAGCTTTCAGAAAAGACAGCTATGAGAGGATATGACAGCCCTTTTCAAATACCTGAAAATATCTGATAACTGAAATCAAGGTAGAAATTTGTTCTCTAGCACTTCAAAGTAGAGGACATGAAAAAAAGGATGTTATAGGAAGATAAATTCTGATGAGACATTTAAAAAAATCCTAGCAGTAACAGCAATTGATTACAGAAGCCAATCACCCACAAAGGGTTTCCCATCACTCGATATACTTAAGCAGAGACCTGACAGCCACTTCTCATGATGCCTCTTGCAATAAAATACCAAAATCATGAACATCTGATAAAATTGTGTTTAAGAAAGAACCAATATTGGGAATCCTGTAATCCAAAGCCTTATGCTAATAATAACTATATTTCTGCATCTTGAAAGTTAGGAAGAAAAATGTAAAACTTCATGTATCATCTATCTTCTTCTTTTCTTCTTCTTTATATATAAAAATGGCTGTGTGTATGTCCCAACATAACTCTGGAACTCCTCGACCAATTTCAACTGAACTTGGTACACAGATGACTTATTCACTAGAAAAAATACTGTGGGGGTTAAGACACCCCTAACACCCCTTGGGAGGTGTGTGTGCCCCCATGTGTGTTCCAGCATAACTCTGGAATGCCTGGGCCGTTAAAATTAAAAGGACTGAATTATATCTGTAATGTCAAGTCACAGTACTTTCGACAGTGATAGTGTGCATTTTGGATTCAAGTTCTGTTAAGATACAACCTGTTATGCCTTAAAATGGCTTCTATTGTACAGCACAGTGGAGTTGCCTTTGTAACAAAATACAGAATTGGAATACATACGTACATACCCAGGCTACGCTGGTTTATCAGCTAGTTGGAAATAAAACTATGAATTTAGCCAATAAAAACAGAATTTAGAAACATGGAAATATAAGAGAAGGCGTAATTTTATAAGGAAGGTTTGCTAAAATGAATAAGCAAATATTATTATTATATGACAAATGAACATTATTGTAAACATTACAATTATTATTTCCCAAAAGTATTTATACCTAGAAAACTCACTATTTAGAAATGGAATTTTTATATGTAAGAAAACTTTAAAAAAAACAAACCCTATGAATAAAGCTCCATATATTAGGTGAATTGTAAGTAGTGGGCACATTTCCAGCGCTGTTTTTCTCTGTGAAATAATGTTATCTGGATTAAATTTAAAACACTTTAAAAATGTACAGTTAAAAGATTCAAATCATAAAAATATAGAATCAGAGTTGGAAGGCATTTTTGAGGTTGCCCAGACAATTCCTTGTTCAGTGCACAAGCCTCTATGACAAATGACCTTCCAGCTGGTATTTTTGTCCATTTTAAGATGGGTGGACTTCAACTCCCAGAAGTCTTCAGTCAGCGTGCAAAATCCAGTATAGGTTCTCTATGGCATAAGCCAGAATTTGTGACTTACTGGGAATAGGCAGCAGATGGTGAACAAAGCTATTTTACCAGTCTCTGGGCCAGTGGTACAATTATTCTGGAAAGAAAAAATGTAATCATGGCCCAAACCAGTAATTGACAAGATCCTCAAAACATCCACAAACTTTGCCATACCGTCTATGATATCTGGAGCAATACAGCTAGGCATTAAATCTTTATTGTAACTCTGAAGCACTAGCTATTTAAAAAAAAAGACAGTTGCTAAATGGCATAAGTCCTTTTAAATTAAATCCAATGTCTTATTTTCTACATCCTTATCTGCAAAACAGACGGACCGCCTTCTGGTTCTTACAGGTTCTTATGCTCAGTTGTTAGCATAACCATACACAATTATATGTAAACAGCTACTTGTTTACATTCTCCACATATTTGTTCTGAGACTATTTTGCCCCTAGCAGATACCTGACAATGATGTTCTTTATTGATCTCAAGAAACCCAGGATTCGTAAGATAAAAACTGTTCTGAATTAGGCTTCCCAAGAGCATGAAGCAAACTCCTGATTCCGACAAAAAACCCTTTTATTAATTTACTGTAAATTCTGCACATTCACATCTAGCAAAGTCTTTCAAGGGAGGATTACAATCACAAGCCTTATCTGTCTTGGAGAGTTTCCAAGCCGATATCTGCAAACTTGGCAAGAAGTCTCGGATAATTGTCTTCTGTAAACTGCACTTCCCTTTCACTCCTTTTATTTCCTCTGGGAGGGGCCATTCACCATCCACCTGTGGCCTTACTCCCAAGTCGACTCCTGTTCTTTAGCTGATCCCTTCATCTGGCAACTCTGTGCATGCGCACACTGGGAACAGGCTCCAGCTGTTTGTCTGCCTCACTGATGTCTGCCTCTGAAGACAGCTGATAACTAGCATACGGCTCTGTCCCCCCTCTCTGCCAGACACAGAGCCCTCATCAAAGCCTTCCCCAGACTCCAGGACTGGCCCATGTTCCTCCCCAACCTCATCAATGTCCGAATCTGCCACCAGCACCGCTGGCTGCTGGCGGGCCACAACAAAAATGACTGTTAATATACACCAATGCAATTGATACCCAATATTAATAGAAGATAATTTATGTAGCTCAAAATTGAGCTGCGAAAACTGAAGCTCTGTTTGTAATTTTTACACTACTTCAAAAGGAAAAAAAATGAAAATAAATCAAAATTTAGGACATTTATTTGGAGGGACTAAAATTGTTAAAAATAAAGGGAAGTAATATCAAGTTGGCTTATTTGATCCTAATTAAAACAACTGTTGTCTCCAGTAACACTAGATTTTTGTTGATTAAAACTCAAATGATGAACTTTTCATGGATTTGTTTACATATAAAAGATGGGATTATGATAGGAAGAGATAAATTGTTGCATTTAATTGTTGCATAAGAGGTGATAAATTCCTAAAATTGTTTATACTGTATTTATTGAGATGAAAGAACTCATTTCTTTATACATTTCTTTTTGTTTACCATATTTTTTTTATTTTTAGTATTTTTTCCTGCACCTTATTTTTTAATAAGGTATTTATTTGTATTAGTTTTCCTTACTTTTGTAGTTGTGATATTTAATAAATATTAGAAATAAAGTTATTTTGATTACTCAAACCCCATATGAAATGATTTTCTCTTACAGACACTTTAAAAATTATTTTGGGGGCAACTTTAAGCAGAGCTACCCTGTTACCCTGAAAATAAGACCTCCCTGGATAATACGCCAAAGCGGGCTTTTGAGCACATGTGCTAAAATAAACCGTCCCGCGAAAATAAGCCTCCTCGAAAATATTGCAACCATAAGGTGACCATGCTCTCTGCCTCTTGCACCTCAAAAATAATAAGACCACCCCATAAATAAGGCCAAACGTTTATTTTGGGGGGTCAATTATTATTTTTGGTGAAACACAATATTTTATCCAGCACTACTGAAGGCTTGGAACTTCAGATTACCCTGTAAAACTGAGTTCTTTGCCACAAAGCCTTGTTTTCTTTAAAATAATTGAAAGCCATTATTTAACTTCCACTTCTCCATATTATGCAAATCAAAACTGTGTCATCTCGAAAAGCCCACAAACAAATGCAGAATATTAAACATATCATTCAATAAAAAATTTTAATCAGCTCATAATTTTGCCCCACAAAAAATAATAATAATAAAAAAACCCAGCTGTTCTTAACTCATGCACAGTCATTTGGATGGCAAAAAGGCATCCCAAAATAAGAAACAATCATATGTTTAAACTATTACAAAATGATGACTCTTCGTCAAATCCACATAAAACACCGTGAATAAATATCGGGGGCTAACTGAGAAGACAGGAGAGACCAGGTCACAGAGATATGGCCTGGTTCAGTCCTTAAACGACACACAAACACACAAATCAAATTCCAGAATCCTTAGGTGTTCCACCGTTGCATAAAAATTCTTTGGAAGAATTGAGCACACAATTGAGGGTCTTCACACCTTCCCAACTGCATCATATTTTGCAGTACAAGATCCATCATTGCAAAGATTAATGGTTGACAGAATGACTGCTTCCCAACTTAGGTATAATATGCAGGGATACCACTTCTGCCGTGTGGGGATTGTAGAGGTTGCTGTCTGAATGGTCAATTCCTCCTTTCATCCAGGGAGATCGTCGTGGCAATTTCAACATAGGTGTTGACTGATGTTATGTAGGACGAAAGCAGGCAGTTCTGAACATTGAAAAATGCCTCATGCAGCAGTTCCCAATTCAGTCATTTTTCTTTTCTTGAACGAAAGCATTTGGTTTCTGAGCAAAAGTCTCTGCAACCAGCAATGGGAAAACCAAAGAAGCATCAGCATAGACCTGGTAAGAGAAAAACATGGTAGCTCAGATGTTTGGCCCCTCTCCAAAACATCCATCTGCTTTTTCTAAAATACATTGCCTCTCAGGATGATTATGATGGTAGTCCTGGATCCTGTCCCATCCATGCCAGCACATGATCTCAGTCTCTTCTTGCCCCCTCCCCCCCAATACCTTGATGGGCTTGGCATCCAAACGGATCTTTCCCCAGGACACTGCCTCGTCAGGCCGAGCTCCTGAATCTGAACCATCAAACTCCTGTGCAGTGTTGACATATACAGAGAAGTCAGCTCCATTTCTCTGGAAACCAAAAAAAAACAAAAACCAACCCTTGGTGACCTCTAAGGCTCAGCTGACTGATTATATCTTGATTTGATATACCAGGGCTACGATCAGCAGATCTCCAGTTGTCATTAAGACCAGCATTGCTCTGATGTAGCTACTGTATTTTTCGGAGTATAAGACGCACCGGAGTATAAGACACAGCAAGGTTTTGAAGAGGCAAATTAAAAAAAAAATTTTTGCACTCTGCAAACCTTGCAAAAACGGTCCATTTTTCACAAAAACGGGCTCGGGGTTTTTCCCCCCAAAAAAGGACATGAATAGCCCTTAGGAGGCTTGTAGAGTGCTCTTGAGGGGGTGGAGGTAATCAAAAATGAGCAAAAAACGCCCCCGCTTTTTGTCAAAAAAAGGGCATAGGTAGCTTTTAGGAACCTTATAGAGTGCTGCTGGGGGCTGGGGAGGGGGCAAAAAACAGGCTGTTTTTCACTCATTTCTGCCCTTCCCAGCCCCCAGAAGGCTCTCTAAAAGCCTTCTAAAAACTTTGCACGGCCATTTTGGTGAAGGGGCAGAGTTTCAAGAGGCAAAAAAAGCTGTATTCAGTGTATAAGACATACCCAGATTTTCAGCCTCTTTTTGAGGGAAAAAGGTGCGTCTTATACTCCGAAAAATACAATAATCATTTCCAAAATGAAAGGGTAATGAACAAGTGCTTCAGAGCAACTTCAACAAATGATTATTAGACCCAATAAATATTTAGCGTAATATTCTCCACTCTGGCAGAAGAACATCAAACTCCTTGTAGAAGTCCTTCCAAGACTTAATAAATAGGACAGCGTGAAGAAGAATGGCCAAGGACTGATCTTACATTCAACATGCAGGGAACAAATTCATAGCATGGGATCTTCCTGACTGTCAAGAATTACGACCTCAACTGGTTTTGTGGTGATGACCTGTGAGTTGAAAACTCATGGCTTTACTTGCAACCATTTTAATTCTCTGCAGAATTCTCCAACGTAAAAATGTTCACCTTATGAATTGTTTTCTGGTATAATGGATTACTAGATTGCCTTTAAATATCTACATTACATTTTAAAATATTTGAAAATATATATGAGCAGTGGTGGTACAGTGGCTTGAATGCAGTACTGCAGGCTATTTCTGATGATCACCGGCTGCCAAGAGTTTGGCAGTTTGGGTCTCACCAACTCAAGGTTGATTCAATCTTCCATCCTTCCAAGGTGGGTAAAATGAGGAGCCAGATTGTTGTTTTTTTTTTGGGGGGGGCAATATGCTGACTGTGTAAACTGCTTAGAGAGGGATGTAAAGCACTGTGAAGTGGTATATAAATCTAAGCTATTTTGTTTTATTGTTGCAAGCCATTTGGTTAAAATTATAGGAATTGAGGGACAGCACCAAGATGTCTCTAGGTTCATTTTGCTTAAGCAAATGTTTTATCTGACACCATAGTCCCTTCCTTCCAAATCAACCCTGACTTTGTGGCTACTGCACACCACTCTCCCTCACCATCAGATTTGCATTGGCAATGTGGTGCTTAATAAGGCCTCCACCCAAGATGATCATTCCTGTCTTCCGGGCAAAGATGGCCTGGCTATTAATGAGTTTCAGGTCTGTAAGAGAGATGACAATAACGGTTATGATGGAAGTGTTGCAAACACACATTGTACATCTCAACAATAAGCCTACAGCTGCTGAGCTTTCAACATACAGCATTTGCTAACCTCAACTTCAATGCAAGAACTGCACTGGAAGTTTCCTTTTTTTTAATTAAGAAGTTTTTTTTAATTAAACACACATTAAAACATTGGACACAGTGTAACTGTGCTGGCAATGTCTTTGCCATACATACTAGAATATAAAGTTAAATATTATAACCAC